GTGGATGACAATACAAGCTCAAATCCAGACAAGGTTGCTTATGAACCAAAGCAGGGTGTAGGAGAGCTTGTTGCCTAGGTCCAGAAAAGCTTATTAATAGTCACTCAGCAATTACTCTGGGGATATCAACCATCCTAAAAATGCTTTTTGCTTGAGATAACAAAAATACTTATCTTGCATGAATCTTAGTATTTAGGCTCAGTCAGTCTGCCAATGCCCACACGACTTCAGCTAGGCTAATTCTTTTCCATCTGTCACTTAAGAGGAAACTCCACTTACCAATTACAAAAATATTAAATATATCACTATTTAGTAAATATACCCCACGGACATTTAATTATGCATGTTTTTCATTGGAGGTATAGCTTAAACAGTTTGCCAAACCTTTCTCTAGCTGTCCAACCAGACTTCTCAATGCAGCTCAATGATAAGCCTTTGCAAGGCAGGTGCTCTGGGTAATTGCTGCCTCTTTAGTTTAGCTATACTGAGCTAACCAAAACAGAAAGTAACATGATCAGCTGTTTGAATGACAGCCACGGGAGTGTAAACAAGGTTCATTTATAAAAGTGACAATTTTTATTTTCAAAAAAAATGAAAAAAGAGGATACACCCTTCAAACATAACGCACTTCAGCAGGCAAGAGTGCTTTAGGTGTGTGGAGTGCTCTTTTGTGCTTTTGGTGATCCCTAGAGTACCAGGGGTCACTAGTTCATATGTGTAAAACACAGCTGCATCAAGTAGCAATAGTGGCCATAGCAGACTTCAGTATGAAACTGTCCCAGTCAGTCTATTCCTCAAAATATTACTGCTGAAGGCAGTAGACTTCCAGAACCTCTTGGAATGTAGCAGGATCCATACGCTTTTTCTCACTATCGGTCATTGACCTGGACTTGAGTTAGATAATGATCAGACCAAGAGGTTTTTGTACCACTCTGCACTGATACCCACTGAACAAATTGGAACATGAAATACAATAAGACTCCTAGAGATCTTGATGTTTACACCATGTAAGGCACAACTGCTCGATATATCGTATATCCAAAAAATATATAAAATGTTTTAAAAAAAATATAAGAGATGAATGGAATCAATAATGGCATTTCTGGGATAATGTGTTTCATTTAAAAATGAGCTTTCTAATACTGAGGAATGCATATTCTCTATTCTATAGCCTTAATCAATTTTTCTATTTTGGGTTCAAACACGGAATAAGAAGGTGCAGTAGAAACAGTGGCTGCCCACTGCCCGATTAAGATTCAACAATGTTGGAAGGAATGGGCCTGTTTAAATTACATAAAGCAGGAAAAAGGTTCACTGAAAATTGCCTTGTAACTTATGTGGTGATTCATTTCCAAAGCTTGAGATGGATACCATAAACTTCAATGGATGCTTTGAGAGAACCAAAGCTATTAGTATAGAACTCTCAGAGGTGTTAGTTATTCACTACAAAACAGGAAGATTGGTTGACAACTAGGGAAATACATCATGGGATTCCCCCCAAAAATGAAAGTACTAATGCCAGTTTGGGGCTTGTTGAACAGACAATCGACTGGTAGTCAGAATGAACTCTAGAGAGCTCTGTGCTCAATTGAATGGCATTTTCCAATTAAGGTTTAGCCAGCCATAACTTTGGAATCAGGAATTAGGAACATTAAGCCCTTGTTCTCGTTTGGCTGCCAGATAGTCTGTCTGTGGGCATGAAAACAGCTAAGAGGCATTTAGGCAGTTTTAGTGCAGACTATTGCAGGAAAGGTATCATATGTGGTGGCTTTTATTTTTGTCACCAATGACATGATCACCTCAGACCCATTTTTGGGATCAGTTCAGACAGAAGATTTAGGCCAAGAAAATCCAACTTCTGGCACATTGACATAGGCAAAACTGGGGACTGTGTTTTGTTTTTTTTTGTAGTAATCAGCTAACCTCTTAGCTGGCAAATAGTATTTCAATCTCACAAAAGCTGAAGTGCCAGTCATTGTCTATCAATACCTTAGGTTTGGACACTGTGTTTATGACAAGTCATGGTAAGTATAAAATTGAATGGGGTCCACTAACGTGTAGCTTGCTCTACAATGTTTGTACAGCCAGTTGTGATGTAGTCCTTAATTACCACATGAGTCTTTCAGAAGCTGGATGACTCTGTAATGATCTATTCTTGTGTAGTGCCTGTTTGAATATCTGTGTCGTAAAAATAGTGTGTGTGTAGACCATTTATTTGGCCATTTATGCATAATACAACTTAATATGTAAATGTTAGTTCGGTGAATTTGGTAAACATTTAATAGAAAATTTGTGATTTGTGTGTGTGGATTGTAGGACACAACCAAACATCAGCTTTACAGAAGAACAAAATTGAATACGCATTAGATTTTGGTTAAGTCCAATGCGGATCAATCTCTTTATAGTTCTTAATACATTTGTTGCTGTGGGGTCAATGTGTGAGCTACGATGATCAATGTGTTGTTTTGAGTCCAGCATGTGTATTACTAAGATTAATATAATGTAGTGGTTTTGTGGTTTCAGTGTGTGCATTATTGTGATTAACTGTTGTGTGGTCAGTGTGTGTGTATCTGTGTGATTAATAAGCTGTTGTGGGGTAAGTGAATATTTTACCATGATGAATACATTGCTGTGTAATGAGCATGTGCATTTTTGTGTGGTCAGTAATTTTGCGTCATGGATTTATATTTGTAAGTCATTATGTGTGATCTGCAATACAGCATTACTGGGAAAACAAACGAAAAAAAACTCCCAAACTTTTTCCAACTCTAAATTAAAAGTCTTTCTCAAACACACATTGTTTTTTTACATTTTTGTGCATTTTTGCAAGACCTTCCTCACAAATGCATGCTCTACTTATGTCAAAAAATTTGAGAAAATAAATCTCTCCTGTGATGTCAAGTAATGGGTTTGCATTCGTTCGTCTTGCTTTTTAGGACAGATCCTCGAAGGTCCTTTCTGCTATTTATATCTCAGTGAAGAGGACGAAAGATTGTTTCGAGAGATAATTTCTCTCTAGAGTTTCCCTTATTCTATGAGTATATATGAGTCTGGGATTCTAGGAGCAAAATTGTACCTTATATTTCAGGTTACATTAAAACTGGACATGTCACATAAATGTCGCCTATTTCCAGGTTCTGGCATAGTAGTGTCTGTGCATGGGTAGGAGTATAGTGAGCTGGTTTCTTTAGACCAGAAGGTCTAGAATAATTTTTGATTCAACTGCTCTGGTCTAGATTCTAGAAAATGTCCTTAAGGTCTTTGTAGCTGATGTCAGTCTTCCTGAGTGTGTTCATACCCATTATAGAGAGGCAGCTATCCAGTCATCATAGCCTTCCAGCTGAAGTGGTAGAGGTTAACTCAGTAAAGGAGTTTAAGCATGCGTGGGATATGTATATGGCTATCCTAACTATAAGGTAAGGCCATGGACTAATTAAATTATTGAAAAAAATTAAGCAGAATAAATGGGCCGAATGGTTCTTATCTGCCGTCACATTCTATGTTTCTTTGTTTCAGCACTTTTCTCTTGCTAAAAGCTTTTCACAGTTAAGGTTTTTATAGAAGTGTTACTTTAAAAGTAACTGATGGAAAAGAGATAGGTCATTGTACACAATTCCACTGAATGGGCTTCTTTGACTACACATGTGGTAGAGAGTTTATATGGCTGAAATAGCTTGCCAAACGTCAGTGGAAGTGAGGGGAACCAAACGCTCTTACATTGGGCCTTGCTTGTATATTACTTTAAAAGAAAGCAAACATACTCTGCGACACATTTTCCAGTTCTACTGGCAATCACTCCAAAGAGGTTGCACGTGGACAGACTTTATTACTTATAGATGGGGTTATTCACTAAACTCTAAATTGTAGCAAATTTAAATATAAATGGCAACATTTAGGCTAAACACACAAGTCATGATTTTAGCTTATTTGGAGATTTTTCCAGTTCAGCAATTTTTTTCCTACATTTTGCAATTCTGATTTTCATTTGCTAAGATTCCGAGTTTATTGAATAATCCAGTTTCTATCCTGGCTTCAGCATCAACTGTTTCTCTTGTTTTGCTCCATCTGTGTTGGTCTACGTGCTGCATCTACTGATCATTAATTAGGACATTTTGGAAGGTGACCAGACATTTATGCCTTTATCTTTGTTCTTTTGTTGTCTAGGAATCTGACCACATTTATTTCCACTATTTGTAATAAGTCTTTTCTTGGCTTACTCAATTAGATATTTAACCAGAACGTGGATCTCTCACCCAGCTTTTCATCTGTTCTAAGATCCTTTCCTTTATGTTGTGTATTTCATTAAAGTGCTATACTAATTTTATATTGGAACGCTCCCCCTCCCCCTTCCCAACATGATTTTTTTTATTCTACTATCACTTTTTTTTTTTAGATAGGACAGATAAATTACAGTTAAATAAACACTCAAAATTGCCTATAAATATATTAAAGTACAACTGTAATGAAATGTAATGATTCTTTTTAAATGATGTATATCAATTTCTTTGAGAAAAAAATCACTTTCTTACAGGGGCGGACTGAGAGCCTTTGGGGCCCCCGGGCAAAATTGGATCCCAGGCCCTTTGAAGGCCAAATATATGTGCATTAAATAAATGTTAAATATAACTCATAATACAGCATTCCTTTGGATGTGTATATTGTGAAGACCTGTGTATCAATGCATGTTTGTATTTGAGTCTGTGTGAATGCACTTGTGCATGTCGGGATGACTACATGTGCTTTTTTTGTATATAGTGTCTGTGTGAATGCATATGTGACAGGTGACAGTGTGTGAGGGAGAAGGTGACAGGTGGAAGAGTGTGGGAGGTTGTGACAGGTGGCAGAGTGAGGGGGTACCTGGTGGCAGAGTGAGGGAGGGAGGGGTTGAGGGGTGGCAGAGTGAGGGGGAGACACAGTGAGTGGGGGTGACTAGTGACATAGGGAGGGAGAGGGGGTGACTAGTGACAGAGTTAGGGAATGGGTGACTAGTGGCAGAGTGAGGGAGGGAAAAAATGACTAGTGGCAGAGTGAGGGAGGGAAGGGGTGACTGGTGACAGAGTGAGGGGATGACTGGTGACAGAGTGAGGGAGTGACTAGTGACAGAGGGAGGGGGTGACTGTCACTAGTCACCCCATCCCTCTCACTGTCACTAGTCACTCCCTCCCTAACTCTGTCACTGTGTCACCCGCTCCCTCACTCTGTCACTAGTCACTCCCTCCCTAACTCTATCACCAGTCACCCCTTCCTTCCTTCACAGTGACAGAGTTAGGGAGGGAGTGACTAGTGACAGAGTGAGGGAGCGGGTGACACAGTGACAGAGTTAGGGAGGGAGTGACTAGTGACAGAGAGATGGATGGGGTGACTAGTGACAGTCACCCCTTCCCTCACTCTATCACCTGTCACCCCCTCACTCTGTCACTAGTCACCCCCTCACTCTGTCACTAGTCACCCCCTCACTCTAGTGACAGAGTGACTAGTGACAGAGAGAGGGAGGGTGTGACTAGTGACAGAGTGAGGGAGGGAAGGGGTGACTAGTGAGAGTGAGGGAGGTGGTGATTAGTGACAGAGGGAGGAATGGGGTGACTATCACTGTCACCCCCTTCCTCACTCTGTCACTAGTCACCCCCTCTCTCACTCTGTCACCAGTCATTCCCTCACTCTGTCACCAGTCACCCCTTCCTTCCTTCACAGTGACAGAGTGAGGGGATGACTGGTGACAGAGTGAGGGAAGGGATGAATAGTGGCAGAGTGAGGGAAGGAAGAGATGACTGGTGACAGAGTGAGGGAATGACTGGTGACAGAGTGAGAGAGGGGGTGAATAGTGACCGAGTGAGGGAGGGAGAGGGTGACTAGTGACAGAGTGAGGAAGGGGGTGACACAGTGATAGTCACCCCATTCCTCCCTCTGTCACTAATCACCACCTCCCTCACTCTCACTAGTCACCCCTTCCCTCCCTCACTCTGTCACTAGTCACACCCTCCCTCTCTCTGTCACTAGTCACACCCTCCCTCTCTCTGTCACTAGAGTGAGGGGGTGACTAGTGACGGGGTGACAGGTGATAGTTACCACCTCCTTCACTCTGTCACTAGTCACCCCCTCCATCACTCTGTCATTGTGTCACCCCCTTCCTCACTCTGTCACTAGTCACCCACTCCCTCCCTCACTCTGTCACTAGTCACTCACTCTGTCACTAGTCATCCCCTTCCTTACTGTCACTAGTGACCCACTCCCTCGGTCACTAGTGACCCACTCCCTCTGTCACTAGTCACATCCTCCCTCTCTCTGTCACTAGTCACACCCTCCCTCACTCTGTCACTAGAGTGAGGGGGTGACTAGTGACAGAGGGAGGGGATGACTGGTGACAGAGTGAGGGACGGAGGGGGTGACTAGTGATAGAAGGAGGGAGGGAGTAGTGACAGAGGGAGGTGATGACTAGTGACAGAGTAAGGGAGCTGGTGACTAGTGACAGTCACCACCTCCCTCACTCTGTCACTAGTCACGCCTTCCTTCCCTCACTCTGCCACTAGTCACCCCATCACTCTAGTGACAGAGTGAGGGAGGGTGTGACTAGTGACAGTTAGGCAGGGAAGGGGTGACTAGTGACAGAGGGAGGGGTGACTAGGGACAGAGTGAGGGAGGTGGTGACTAGTGACAGTCACCACCTCCCTCACTCTGTCACTAATCACCACCTCCCTCCATCACTGTGTCACCCCCTCCCTCACTCTGTCACTAGTCATCCCCTTACTCTGTCACTAGTCACCCCTCCCTTCCCTCACTCTGCCACTAGTCACCCCTTCCCTCCCTCTGTCACTAGTCACCACCTCCCTCTCTCTGTCACTAGTCACACCCTCCCTCTCTCTGTCACTAGAGTGAGGGGGTGACAGGTGACAGAGTGAGGGAAGGGGTGACTAGTGGCAGAGTGAGGGGATGACTAGTGACAGAGTGAGGGAGGTGATGACTAGTGACTGTGGGGGGGGGTGACTAGGGACGGGGGGTGACTAGTGACAGAGGAGGGGGGTGACTAGTGACAGTGAGGAGGGGGGTGACTAGTGACAGTGAGGAGGGGTGACTAGTGACAGTGGGGGGGTGACTAGGTGACAGGGGGGTGACTAGTAACAGTGGGGGGGTGACTAGGGACAGGGGGGGTGACTAGGGAGGGGGTGATTAGAGCCTACCTGTGCTTACTCTGCTCTCCCTGGCTGCTGCTCCTTCCCCTCGCTGGGCTCTGTGTGAGAGGCGAGTACAGGAAGTGATGTCACTTCCTGTCCCCGCCTCTCCCATCACACAGAGCACCGCGGGACAGGGAGAAGGAGACCTGGCAGCGAGGGAGAGGAGGTAAAGCTGCCAGGTCTCCATGGGGGGGACACTTACAGGGCGGTAGGTTGTGGGGCCCCAAGCTGCATCAGGGGCCCCACAACCTATCAATTAAATAGTTTTTTTTTTTTTTTTTTCGTTCCAGTTGGAGAGATCTCTGATCTGATCTCTCCAGCTGGAGCATGGCTGTGCGGCCGGGCCCCTGACTGCCTCGGGCCCTCGGTCCATGACCGATATGCCCGAGTGGTCAGTCCGCCCCTGCTTTCTTATCTGGCTGAGTAGCCATGTTGTGATAGGTTCTACTGTTAAATCGGAGCAACTATTGCTTAACTTAACAATGCCTAGTTCTAAAAGTGGAGGGAATGGAAACCAGATGGAACTGATGGAACTGATGGAACATATGGAACTGTGTCTCAGAATTGCCCTTTCTAAGGAACCTACACTGGCCACTTTCATCTAAACCATATATCCCATAGTAAAAATGTCTCACATGTAGGTCAATATGGGATGGCTATGAAATACATACATATGTTGCAAATGAGACAAAAAACTAAACAAAAAACAACAGCTACATCCAATTTCTGCCATCCAATGTGGTCCAATTTGGAACTATAGTAAGAAAAAGGCCCATGTTGGAAACTCAGTTCTTCTAAAGAGATACCATTGAAAGACTTTGCCTTCCAACCCCAAAGCTACATCCTCTCACTCTGTAAGTCAAAGGTTTTCATTGGATAGAGTAAGGTATAAACTATCCCAACAACAACAATCGTAAACTGCACTAACACCCGAAGCCTCTAAGGCTCTGTCTTCATGAATCAAACCAGTTCTCGGTGCTCTGATGGCAGAGTCATCAAAATATACATCAAATGTCAATAGCTTTTAATGTAGACGTTATAAGATCAGGTTTGCATATTTAATGGTAGATTTCCACGGTCGGGAAAATGGTTGTGACATTTTCAAAGACTACAATTTAATGATTGATATGATTTCATAGAAAATCTGACACCTATAAATAACCGCACATCATAAAATATGTTAATTAACAAACAGTACTAGCTTGTTCTGCTTTGGAGTGGAAAAAAAACTTTTTGCAGTTTGTAAAAGGTGACTGTCTCTTCTTGAACTATTGTACATTTTTACTGAGATTTCACAAGAATGAGAAAAATTATATCTATATGTATATGTATGTATCTAAAATACACACGATCCAGCACACTCATTCACCACTAAACAACAATTTTCAAGGTCACAGAATGTAATAGTTTAAAAAAATACCAAAAAAAAACTAAACAAAAAAAAAACTTCTAACCTAGGTAAAAATAATTGGGGTTTAATTACAGTTATATGATCCTCTTTAATATTTTTATTAGTGATATTGCAGAAGGTCTTGATGGTAAGGTATGTCTTTTTGCTGATGATACTAAGATATGTAACAAGGTTGATGTTCCAGGAGGGATAAGCCAAATGGCAAATGATTTAGGTAAACTAGAAAAATGGTCAGAATTGTGGCAACTGACATTTAATGTGGATAAGTGCAAGATAATGCATCTTGGACGTAAAAACCCAAGGGCAGAGTATAGGATATTTGATAGAGTCCTAACCTCAACATCTGAGGAAAGGGATTTAGGGGTGATTATTACAGATGACTGAAAGGTAGGCAGACAATGTAATAGAGCAGCAGGAAATGCTAGCAGAATGATTGGTTGCAGTAGAAAGAGGCCATTGTACAGAACACTGGTGAGACCTCACTTGGAGTATTGTACGCAGTACTGGAGACTGTATCTCCAGAAGGATATTGATACTTTAGAGAGAGTTCAGAGAAGGGCTACTATACTGGTTCATGGATTGCAGGATAGAACTTACAAGGAAAGGTTAAATGAACTTAACATGCATAGCTTGGAGGAAAGACGAGACAGGGGGATATGATAGAAACATTTAAATACATAAAGGGAATCAACACAGTAAAGGAGGAGACTACATTTAAAAGAAGAAAAACTACCACAACAAGAGGACATAGTCTTAAATTAGAGGGGGAAAGTTTTAAAAATAATATCAGAAAGTATTGGAATAGCATGGAATAGCCTATTAGCTGAAGTGGTAGAGGTTGACGAAGTGAAAGAGTTTAAGCATGCATGGGATAGGCATAAGGATATCCTAACTACCCTACTCTAGCAACCTAATTCCTGCTCTTATGAGATTAATCCACTTACCTGGGAAATGCCTCCTCCTGGGACTCCCTGCAATGCAAAGTTACATAGTGCCCTGGAATGAGGAAGGTGTACCTTTTGCAGATGTCTCAAGCCAGGGTCCTATTTAACCTTGCACTGCAGAGAGTCCAAGGACAACTAATTTACCAAGTAAGTAGATTAATCTCATAAAAGCAGGCAATCGGTTGCTAGAGTAGGACCTGCCAAAATGCAGTACATTGGCTGCATGAGATTTACACAGTCTCCCTAAACACTTCCTGTAAAGAGTCATCTAATGTTTAAACTTCCTTTATTGCAAACTCCGTTAAATTTAGAATGTTTTATCTCCTGCTCTGTTACTAGCCTTCTAGATCCTGCAGGAAACTCCTCTATGTTAGCAAACTTTAATTACATCCAATTGAAAATGAAACAATTTTTTTCCACATAAGCTGTGTGAATCACAGCCAGTGATTTGCATAAACTGAAACAAAAGTGATTTAACTCCTAAATGGCAGATAACTGAGCAGTGAGACCTCAGATGTATTAATTACACACCAAACCTGCTTCATTAAGATAAATTTGTTTTGGTGCCTATAGTGTCCAATAATGTTTTCATCTATTTAAACTTTCCACCAGTATGCACTTGTAAGACATATTCTAAAGCTTGCTTCGTTAACACTGATTATTATTCTAGTAGCTAATTATATGCATTTCTAAATAATAAATACATTTCTCACTTATTTAATTTGTCTTTGCCGTGGTGGCTCATATAAGCTATATGTGTGTATAAATATAATTCTTACTAGTTTAAAAAATATATATTTCTCAAAACCAATGTATATTTATAATGGGCATTTTCCCATGTATGATAATACCAGGAAATGAAATTGGACAACCTAGGCATATCTCAGGTACCTTTCATGTTTTGGAAGAATCTACCATTTAAAGTCAAATAATGTCCACCACATTGTGCACACGGATATAAAACCAGACTTGATGGAATAAATTGCTGAGTCCAAAAGGCTTGAGGTCAATTTCCCTTTACCGTATGGATTTTCTAAAATTCATGCAACATTCATGAGAGTGAACTCAGTACTAATCACCTCGGACACATGGTTAAATTAAGAGCTTGACGGGCCTCAGGACAAGAGGTTCATGGCTCTTCAAAAAAGTTTGCATTACTCATAAATTCTGAATCTACTTTAAAAAAAAAAAACGTTAAAAAAGCTTGAGAGACATACTTTTAAATCTTATGTATGTGGACCACAACATGAGGACAGTAGCATAGCCAGCATTACTTACCGTTAGCAAAGCCCTAGAAAAGTATTAACTTGGATTCATAAAGCCAAATGAAATCAAGAGCTTGAATAATGTTTCTTTGGAAGTGTTTTGTGCATTTATGATTCACTTTTTATCTTATTTGGCAACTAATAACTCTTCTAACCTTCTTGACATTCAGCCAACCACAGTTGTTGTGTGGTAGTATATCGAATGTTGAGTTGCTAGCTACTGTATTCTGGATATTCATATCCAAGTGGAGAGGTGAGTTTAGGATGTTTTGTTATTCTACAGTTTTTGTTAGTGGTAGGTTTTGGTTTGACATAAAAAAATGGTTTGACAAATGGTTTGACATGACACGAAATGACCACACTTACACTTTCACCAAACAGCTGTAGTGGGTACAGTCATGCAAGTATAGGAGTCAAAACTTCAAAGCCCAGAGTCTTAGTCCACTGATTAATATGACGGTTGTAGAAAAGAAAGAATGAACCAAAACAACTAGTGCAACAAGCAGGTTAACAGAGTAACAGAATGAACGCAACACAAACGGAAAGCAACATCTTTGTGTGAATGTGACCCTTCCAACAGGCATTTCTGAATGGGTTAACCTAGAGGAAAAATAATTTCATTCACTCACCTTCTCTCTGTTGCTGTGGAATCATGGGAGGTGGCTGGGGGAACGCTTGGCTGATCTGGCTGTAAGCAGCAGGATAAGCAGCTATTGGAGGAATAAGAGGAGAAAAGAGTCAGCAAGGGGCTATTAAACTCTCTTTCCACCATAATGAGATGATCTGGATTATTTTCGGGGTCAGTTGGCACCAGTTGTGCTTGTTCAATGGGAAATAATTGTTAGCTATAAATTTGTCACAGGCCGTGACATCTATTGTGTGGATTTTTTTCCTCTTCTTTTTATAATAGGCTGGCGTATAACAAAGCCTTTTTCTCCCACCTATTGTGCCTGTGCAGTATCCTTTTACTCATAAAATAAATATTAA